GATGTTTTTCTTCTTCACCCAGACACATTTTCACCCGCGAGGTGTAGAAAAGCCAAGGAGCCCGATTTTGGGATATGCATGACAGATCAGAGATGATCAGAGAGCCAACCGCTTAGATTCTGCTGACCCGTGTGGGTGCTGTTTACAAACCTTTGGAATCCACTTTGGTCACTGATATCACTGATATCTGCACATGAGATCACATGAGTTTATATTCTTAAATGTTGATCTGATCTCCGAGCCCATGCAAGCAAAGCCAACAAAACCCAATCAATTGGATTCAATTAGCACCATACTCCATCATACTCCATCTGTCCGGCTCGATCGATGGTGCCTGACCCTTGAAGTCATCCACGCTCCTCAGTCGTACAGAATTGCATGCACATCTTTTAGGGTTTCACTCGCTTCATCCGAAGACCTGCCACCTTGCTGTGAAACACCAGCTGCATCCAGCTACCCAGTCATGGCGCTAGGGGCAGCTAGTTGCTCGCAACCCCCTAAAATCCCAAGCGGACTACTTCGGGGCTTCCTGACAGTTGTCAAGGACCGTAAGCTCTACATGTTCGTCACTTGGAAAAGTGCACAAGAACCTGGCATGACATACTCCAACTGCGACATTCTCCCCCAAAAAAGGACAACCACAGTAGCTAAACTAGCATAGCATTGCGGGGAATCCAAACCTCTCATCTCCCCCAGCCACTCCGCCGGAGCGTCAAATCCCGCAGGATCTTCGGCATGGTGCTGGTCAAAAGGCCTTCGCAGGTCTGAGGGGGGCGATGCTTGAGGTCGGACAGAACTACAGATCGTCGGCCTAGCTTCAAATCAAGCATAACTCATAACGTCATAACATGCCTGGATCATCCAAAGGGTTGCCAATACACCACCTGCAGGTACACATGGACCTTCATTGGACACCTATTGGATGATCCTGGTAGTGATGATGGTTGGAGAAAACTCAGATGGAAGAGCGGTTTATGAGGAGCGATGTTGAGTTCCAAGCGCACTTGGCGCTACACAATCAATTGCACCATGTTTCACGGATCTTCACGGTGATGATCAACATGAATTGTTCCGCAACAACATGGGATGGATATGGTGTGTCCCGTGGTAAGGGACTCCATGCAATCCCAATGGAATAGAGAAACCGGACCACGCTCCACTAACCTCCTGTCCGTTTCGGTAAAATGCCAAACACCTCAATGAAGAAACTTGGTACTTCCTGGTGCTTCAGGTTTGGCACGGGCCCCTTCAAAACCATGACACATCGCCCACCACCCTGTGGACAAAAAGATGAACAGCAAGTTCATCGTTTCTCCTGGATTGACATGCTTTTTCTCCTGATTGCACCCTGCACGGAAAATCTCCCACTTCCCCCCCACACCGTGCGCCCCCGCCCCACTTCGTCCTGCTGCCTTTCGCTCGCTCGCTCACCCTCGCCTTCGATCGCCGCTTCCGCCTCATCGGCGTTCACCTTGGTGCCTTGCACCACCACTCGCCTCGGAGGGTCCCGGGGGTACACCGGTCGATGGTGGTGGAGGATGTGTTGGATGGAGGGTCAGGGTGAGGTGTTGGATGCTGGAATATGTTGGAATATGCTTAGGGCATCTTAGGCCCTATTCTGCTGGAATATGCTGGTGCCACTGCTGGTGCCCTATTCTGGTCTATGCTGGTGCCGTGAAAATGGTTCGAAACGTGCTTCAGGAACCTGGCCCAGACTTTTCGGTTCTTCGTTGTTTTCCAATGTTTCTTTCAGGCCGCCCTAACCCAAACCTTTTGGGGTGCAGGGTTTGCAGTGGTAGACATGTGGAATCACACTGAGGCGGAAAGAATGTTGGCACTTGGCCCTTCAATTTTTATCCACTTCCCTCCATGCACAGCAGCTTCTCAACGCCCAAGTGGCACTAGATTCACATTTGAGATGGTGCTCATTCCGCCACCCACCTCAGCAATGAAGGCGGTGTGCGGATCAATAATGGTGCCAGGCAGTGGTCAATTTCGTGACTGCTCTTGCAGCACCGTTTCCGTGGAAACCCATACAGCGATTCAATCAACGCGACTCCCACTCCTGGCAAACCCATGCGAATCTCAAACAATGGTCCCAAGAGCTCGTTTTGCAGTTCCAACTGCGAATCTTTGAAGTAGCAATTCGGAAAAGAAACCGCTTCTTCGCCACCCCCCTGGCACACACTCTGTTGATGAACTAGTCTCAATCTGTCAGCTCTGGTCTTGAATATATAGTTTATATACTCCCTGAGCCTGGATGTGCAGAGTCCGGAGCCCGCTTCAGGGAAAAAGCACAAACTCCAAAATGTGACTGTGGGTCAAGACCGGGACACGCCAAAGTATGGTAGGTCGACACCCCTGGTAGTCCACTCATGTCCATTCTGTATCATTCTGTTCCTTTTTGGCCGGTGATTCCTCCCAACCGTTGCTCACAGTAAGCAGTCCCTCCAGCCCTTCAGTGGAGTCCACGGGTGCAGAGGCCCCTGCCACGTAGCCTAGGCCGTGGTTGACGGGTAGCAGCCACTAGCTGAACAACCCATGCATGTGCAGACCACAACTCGCCGGACCAAGACGCAGAGTCTTCAGTCAAGTCTGACCGAGCTGCTCTTTGGAGTGCTTCACAGCTCGGGCGGTGTTGCAATGAGAAAGAGTCATCAAGGGCATCAAGTATCAAGCAGTCAAGAGCAGTAAAGTATCCACTTCTTCGTCAAGCTAGGGTGCTCTGCTCTACAACCTCCTGCAACTACTGTACACTAACTAATTACTGTGACAGCCCCACCCATAACAAAAACGGTTCGTCAGATGTGATGCACATGTAGTTAAATGTATATAATATATAATGGGCCAGTATAATACTTGCCGATCACCCGACTATGCCAGAGAAAGTCGACCCGCAGCATCCACTTCCACCACCCCCACCCGGCCCCAAGCAGCACAACAGAGCTTAGGCGGCCCATGTCAGCCTTATCCATTGGGAGTCCATTAGGGGCCTACAATCCAGAACGTGCGGTTGAAGTTCTACGTCAGGATCCCTCCAGTTTCCTGCCAGCAATAAGAGCAGCGCACGGAACGTGCAACAAACAGCAAGCCAAAGCAAGGTAGTAAGCAACTGTGCCACAAGCACGACACCAACAACAACAGAAGCAACAACAACAACGGAAGCAACAACAAGTAGCAATTACAAACAAGCGACTCACCGCAATGTGCTTGAGCGTCCGGGCCCAACTGCTGTTGCGTCCGCAGGTTGTCGAAGGCCGCAGTGCCCAGCAGAGCTGAAGCGATGCCCAAAATAACACCTCGGACGGACATTGGGCGTGTGTGAATCAAATGTTGCCATGACCAAATGACGATGTCATCATCCAAAGGGAGTCTTAAATACATCGCCCAGCAGGGCGAACCTCCTGCTTGAAGGGTGCCAGGTTGGCTGCGGACAGTATGCTCCATCAAATCTGAAACTGTGCGCGCCATTGCGGGCCAACCTGACACATAGTAAATATTACAATTTGGATGAGCATGAGTCCTTCCATCATCGAGACGTGGCCCACAACTTCACGGACTTTCCAGACGACTTGAGTCCCCGCACCCAATCCTGTGCTACCGCCGTGCTCCGTGCTACCCCCAATCGTCGGTCTGAGACCTGCTTGAAACCACCCCGTCCTTCCCTCCACTCCAGCCGAGGCCCCCAACGGCTTGGCACATCGGTCACCTGAGTCGAGGCCATGACGTGGGATCGGCCACGCCCCGCGTACGCCCCGCGTCCAACGTCTTCGTGCTGGGTGTTCCGACGCCATGGATCAGGCTCACCACCGCCACCTCAAAGACTGCAAGCTGGAGGAGTGGTGATAGTGGTGATTCATTTGCGCCGAGGCTGCGCCAATGGTGAGTCTGCACTTGGATAGGCTTGGATCATTTCATGGTGGACTTGGGGCTCGACCAAAGGACTTGTGCAAGGGGAGACATGGAAAATATTCCAGTTGAATTGCACGAGTGGGTTCCTGCTTGGACCACAATTCTACTGCTGATATTGGTTTTAAGTTTATGCGCTCGGGCCGCTCATGTCATGCCGCCCATCCTGAACTTCAGGAATCCAAATAGCAGCTCACTAGAAAATTGCACTGCTGTCTGCAAAAAAGATGTTAACACAATGTTAACACATGTTAACACCATTGACATAAGTTGGGCCAGGACAAATCTCAGAGCGCTCGCAGTCAGAATCAATTTAGACGGGGCCTTCGGCCTCCACTCAAACGTTTTCACTGACTACCCCTGCAGTGGTACTTTTTAAGTTTGTTTCTGCATGTTTCTGCTCATGGGGCCTGGCCAGCAAAAACGCATTGCGCAGGTCCAGCATGGCCCAGTGGAGATCGGCGTTGGCGAACAATTTTGTTGCAGCATGGGAATCTTTGTCCTGCTTCTCGATACATGTTTACCGTTACCTTGCTTCCAGCGGCTTGATCCATGCACCCTCACGGAGCAGGCGTCGAATGTCGGCACCGATCCGACTGCCGGCTGACTGTAAGTGCTGAGCTTGATGGTCTCTCACGAGTTGGCGCAGCTGGATTTCCATCTCCTCTGACCTCTCCTTGTTTCGGCATGTCTGGAGGCGGGTGTGCATCAGGTGAATTTCCCTGGCTCGTTGCATGCCACGATGATCCAAGCTCCTGTACCGTGACTGCTGGCCACCAAGGTCAAACAATGATTCTCGTATCTTGCAATGATTGTCTCTACTGAGCCGCAGGGCTATGTGAGCCTGCTCCCGCTTCAAATCAAGGCCACAGTCCAGGAGCTGACGCAAGGTACTTTTACAAGTTTCCAGCTTGAAACAACTTAGTGTTGCAACGTCACCCATGGGCGTGGCATAACAACGCAACTTCCAGCCTTCCAGCCCCTGTTCGTGCAGGAACCGGTGCAAAAGCTTCAAAACAAATGGGTTGACCTGTGCAACTGCAAGGACCAAGCTACAGCTGTAGCTTTTCACCGTGATGCAACCCTCAGCATCAAAAAAAACCAGCGAAGTATGGCCATGACATATGTGCGAAATTCTCTGGCACATGATTCCTTGCCTTGAGGTCCTCCATTTGCTGTGCAACTTGAATGCGCTCCTCAGTGACGACATCCCCATGTGATGCTATTTGGAGTTGTGCTTGCTTCATGTAGGAATTCTTAGCTAGCAATGCTGCGGCACGTTTCGAAGCCTTGCCCGCAACCCACCACTGCAGCCTGGGCCTTTGCAAGCCGCAACCATCTGAGTGTCTGCATATACCTCCGCCAAAAGCTGAACGAAGCCGGACCAATATGTCAGCTCCTCGAACCGATTGGCCGACCGTAAGCCTGATTCGGCCAGATTTTGAAGCCATGGTCACACAGCCATCACCATCGAAAAAGCCGCTGAAGTAAGCCAGGGTCTCGTCGCTGCACTCTTCTATCTTGGCATCTTTTGCACGCAAAGGCAGTGTGTGCATTGTCCCAAAGCATTCGAAAGACTCCAAGTGCGGCCGCTCGACCCGTCTCAGAAGGCTCACTAGGCGTTCGAAGCGACGCTGCATCTTCTCCTTGTCTACCTTGGTGCTCGCAGCCTTGAAGAAATGTGGCCGGCAGCTCCATAATGCATACGGAACTCGAAGGACTCTGAAGTTCAGCCGCGCGCTGGAGATCATCGGCGAGGCCCTGATATACCCAAAGCAGCACTAAGTGGGAATTGACTCTGCAGCTGAAATGAGCCAAACTGGCGCAAAAACTTTTCAGGAAAGAGTCGCATGTTTTTGATATAGTTACATATGTATTGAATATATATATATATTATACTATATATATATTCTGCTTAAAAAAGGAATAGTGTGTAAGTATACAGTATACATATGTTGTGCCGATATGCATCGACATGGGCGCCCAGGCATCGTTGGGATCCCCGTGCCGGGGGTTGGCTGCACGCACCTCGATGGGCCTGGCAACGACTTGCCACGGGTGGTTGTAGCACATACAGTAGCAGTGGTCATGGTACATGCCGTACTTTACAGTAGTAGGTAAACGCCAAAGAGTGACCTATGATAGAAGGATACTAAGGAACCGGCAAGTGCCCTATTTGATCCTATTTGGCATAATCTGGCCATGTGATGCCATGTGCATGGACTATTTGGATTTCATCTTGCAAAGGCACTTTGCTCAGTGCATTTTGACAATTCTCATTATACTAGGGATGATGCACTGAGTGGATGGGTGCTCCACATAATGGTGCAAATGTCTGAAAGGTTTGTATCATCCACATAGTTCAATTCACGCAAGAGATCCACCGTCCATGTTGCTTAAATATGCAGTAGGACTATGTAGGATACACATGTCCGTTTCGCATCCCAGGTGGCATAGATGACTTATCAACACCCACCCACCGCAACATGATCAGAATCCAAACAAGACTTTTCACATGCCTTTACACCCAGCCATCCACAGCCTGAGTCCTCCAAGACCACTGAAAGAAGGAGTCCCAAAAATTTACGGGCACAGCCATGGTTTTTCGGGAAACGCCACTCAATGGTGCTGGTTGGGCTACCACGCACGGTAGGCGCTACCGCTACAGGATCGGCAGCGGCAGGCGGAACAGGCGCGACAGGAACTCGAGTAGTTAGCTTGAAATCCTGACGTACTAAGTACCACTTGTCGCCCCATCCCCCCATCCGGGGCCCATCCGGCTGAGCCGTCACCTCTTGATGTTGACCACCGGCATCACCTCCTCCACCGTGGCGTTCTTGGGCACCGGCCTCGATGCGTCTTGCAGCGATGCCAAAGCTATGGGAAAACCGGTCCAGTCTGGATTGTGGATCCATGTCAATCCTGGCGTGATTTCGACCGGCAAACCGCTATACCACCGCCATCAGCGAAAGGGTTGGTCGGCCGGCGCACCTGGCCTATTAATCCCGCCAGTTGGTTTAAAGCTGCACTTTGCTCTAGCCTCGCCAGCTAAGTAGGCAAGAATTAACACATATCTATAGAGAGAGAGAGAGGCATATTGAATGCCAAGGGTCACCCTCCAGTGCTCCCCACTGGGCACCCCGCTTCGGTGACACCCAGCTGGGCCGCTGCACCGAAGACACGATCTGGCTCCTGGACTGCAAACACGAGGGGGTCGGGTGTGCCTCATGGGAGGCGTAGGATTGCTTGCAAAGAGGAACGCTACATCCAACTACTAGCAGTATCTAGCAGTCACAAAGAGGTACCTATTGGAGGATAGGGCCTTACTGGGTGCCAATATCCACGCACTTAAGGAAAAAAAACACACCTTTGTGATTCCTGTTGTGTGTAAGTTTAGGGGATTAGTGTGTCTTGAAAAGGGGGTACGTGCGCCACTGTGGGACGACAAAGTTGGGCGGTCGCTATACTCGTGTTGACCCACAGCTGTGTTGCCATGGCCTTATCTCCTTGTCTGCTCTACCTGCTGGTGCTAAAGGCTAAAAGAAAAAAGTGATAAGATCTCCAAGTTGATCCGTGCTACAGGAAGCGCAGTTGCCATCACCAAAAAGGATAATGAATAACGGCACAACAATTTGCTTCACAAGCAACACTTGATCCACCAAGATTGTCGATCCACTTGTCATCTGCTGTCCTTTCAGAACTTTTACGCAGGTCGTGAACACATTTGTCAACTTGCTAGTTGTTAGGAGCTGCTCGGGCCCCGGCAAGACTTCCGTGGACTGGAGGTCTGCGAGGTTTCCAATGGCTAAGGCCTCTGGCAGGGTTGTCAATCGCATGTGGCTGATAAACTTCAGGTTGCTGAACTGAAAAAGATCAACTGTACCTTGGATTTGCTGCGGTCTTGCAAGACCTTGGAGGACCGCCGCTTTTGCTGTCATGTTTCTCTCTCTTGAGCAGCGTTTGTAGCATTTGAGCAGGCTGAAGTGGGAGGGTGCTGTCCTGTGTCAATGCCAGGTGATAGGTGAGTTGTTGCGAAGTACAGTAGCTGTGACATGTTGACACACAACATGTTGGGCCCAACAAATCCAGGGAAACATCAGGTTTAGCATGGGGCACCGAGTCGAGAGGAAAGTGAAGGAACCCCAAGCTCCCTAAATAATTAGCCAATAGATGCCAATAGGAAAAACATGGAAAAACTTGACATCAGCACCCACTACCTGTCGTTCCCCCACAGCCATCCACTCCGTCCGGCGCCCCCGGCCGTCATCGAGAGAGGCTTGGATCTTGGAAGTCGAAGACGTGTATGCGCGATCTCCGGGGAAAAACACGCACAGAGAAAACTGCCCAACCATCTCCGAAAACTGTTATGCTATATGTTGTGCATTTTTTAAAAATTATGATATGTCATGCATGATTTATGATAATGATAATGGTTTGTCACCGATTTGTCCAACTGTCTCAGAACACTCCACGCAGAATCATTGGGACGGGAACCCCCCCCACACAGCTGCAGGTCACTACGACAACGATCTAATGATCCATGATAAGTCCGGCACCCCGAAACAAACAAGCTACTGGTATAATGTAGACTCTTGATTAACCCCCCCATATGAAGAGGATGCTCAATTCAAATTGAGGGGGTTCTTAATCAAGAGTCTACATTGCTGGCATTAATATTGACATGTATTGACAACGTTCCGCTCGCACCAAGGATCTCGCGGTCTTCCAGGTGTTTCTTCGTACACCGTTCCGCCCGGTTGGTTGAACCTCCGGGCGCCCCGGCAGCACCAGCTCCCCTGCCGTGCGGACGGCCGCGTCCAGACCTGGAGAAAAAGGGCTTGCGCAGTGCGTAAAAACGGGGTCCGGAACAGTGACGGAAATCGAAAGGCTTTAGGAAAAGCCGTATTTTTGATAACATGAAACTCATTTGGGCATCAAAATGGGCTTAATTAAGTGCTCAAAATCTGTCACCCACTCATCAACCATAGGGACAGTCTGGAGCTGATCAAACGATCTACAAGGCCCCCGAGCTCAAACCCTTGACCGCTGCCAGGCCTCAGCCAAGTCTTGATCAATGAAGCAAAATCGAAGCAAAAAAACTACTCAGGCTTTTCTGAGAAAGGATTCGGGAGAACGGTGTTTGTGTGCGGGGGGTCTCAATCATGTTCCCAACTCATATGCTTTCGTTAGTGTAGAGTAATGCCGCATGTTAGTAGCATTTGAAATGTAAAAAGTTGAACTGTGGAAAATAGTGGAACTGCTTAGTGCAGGTGATAAAAATGTTCCTCGAGCATCACCAAAGCTTTACACTTGTCTCTCTTTTAGCAACCTAGTTCATACATGAGCAATCATTTCTATTCATGCATGCCGGGTCCTTTCCATTCTCCATGCTCCCCTGCTCTCATCGTTGGAGAACGAGTTCCGAGAGAGCAAGCGGTCCTTGATGGAGGGAAGGCGTAAAAACAAGTGGGTGTGGTATGGTCTGACCATGTCGCTGACCTGCTAACATAATTACCGTAATTATATAGCTCTATATATATATATACATACACGGTATATTAATAGTCTGGTCTGGACGCTTTGCCAGCCATGAAATCAGTCTAAAATTGTCTAAAAATGCTTACAAATCAAGATGATGATTTTTTTTGAGGGGGGCCAGGCTGTGGGCACCCCAACCAATTGAGGCAAGAGCCTTCAAAAGGTTTGGAAAACATGTGCCTATGTAAGCAACAAACCTCAGCTCCCGCTTGCTGGGGGTCTTGGGCGGGTCTCGTGGACACTAGGCCCCTGTCAATGGTTGCTGTTCATGCTTTGGACGCCACCAATTCTAGACTGGCAGTACCTTTGTCGAGAAGTGCACAGTGATCTGCTGTAGGAGCCTCCACCGAAAATCACCTTTACCTCCGAATGGCCCGCGGTGTTGCATCACCCCCTCCGGCTGCTGCCCAGACCAAGTCTTGGATGGCATAGCTGGATGGCATGCCACCGAAGGTCTGCAACTCCTACACTTAGACACGGAGACAGGTCAGGGTGGGGTGCAGCCAAACAATTGAAACCAAAGAGGCGGACTGCAAAGGTACAGCACCCCCCACTCTCTAACAGAAGCTTGGTGGACAATGAGTTTCCTCGCGTTCCTCTACCATATGGTAGTTGCTATTTTGGTCAATGAACCGCAATACCTAAACAACATCCGAGATGACCCTCGTGCAATCTCTTGTAAAAAGAGATGATCTAGCACCTGGGCGGCTCTTCCCTCCTCAATCGGTGAGTCTCGGTGCCTTAAGCAGTGTCATCAAGACCGCCGGGTGCTTTCCTAAAGAAAACGCCTGTCAGCGCCCAAAAAAGAAAAAAACACGTCGCCTCCATGTAAGTATTCTTGATCCGCTCAAAGCGGCTGCGCTTGGTGGCATTCAAGCCCTGGTTGAAGCCTTAGGGGTGCTTGCAATGAGGTGACTGCTGCCGGGACAGCCTTGCAATCAGGTGGTCTGCGGCACACTTAGGAGTGAGTAGCGAAGATTGTAGGTGAGGATTTGTATACTTGGGCAATCTAAGTTCAACATAGGCTTGTGCCCATCTGAACTTAGATTGCCCAAGTATACACATAGGCAGATCCATAGGCAGTATACACATAGGCAATCCATCCCATAGGATGTGTATACTTGGGTGGATCCAAAGCCCCAGTTACTTCCACCCACTGGTCATCGCACGAACAGACAACCTGGTCATCATCCAGGCTTTGCTCCCCGCCGAG